CGGCAAAACTAGGATTAGTTGACAATCAATATCAACATTGCACACGGTAGTAGTAGCAGACGATAAATAACGACCGTTGACAATTTAGAGCGTTTCTGCAGACGATACTAGCGACCGTTGACCACTTTCGAGATTTACAGACGATGAAAGCCAATTATCAATACTGTGTTCTTCCGATTGGAAGATTTAGCAGCGGTAGATGTCAGACTTGTCGGCATGCGCCAAACGCGATTAGACTCATCGCCGAGTGTATCCCCAGTGCTGCTACACGCGGCGCGGATGGGGGGGGGGGGGGTCTAAACTAAACTAAACTGCCTGGGACTCACGAGTAAAGTAATTGGTGGAAGTTGCAGGAGATGCGGTAGCTGCCACTCGTGAGTCCCAGCCATCTACTTTAGTCCCCATCCGCGCCGCGCGTAGCAGCGCTGGGGATACGGTCGGCGGTGAGGCACACTCGCAGAAGCAGGTCCGCAAGTAACATATCGGCGAGACCCTGTTAGAGCATTTGTTTCGTTGTACAGAGCCGGCACATATTTTTAATAGAACTGAGCCCCATTTGGATATTTTTGGATATTTTAAAGCCAGAAATTGGCCAATTTAGCTCTCTTTTGAACGGCATCATAATACGGCCACCATTTTGGGGGTAAGTTCAAAGGAGAGCCAAAAAAGTGTTTATAAGAAAAAAATTTGGCTTATGAATTTTTTGGACTGTATAGGATGATACAAACATGTAACCATGCTGGCAGTTCATAAGTTGTCTTTTGTCTTGAAAAAATCTGGCAGGCAAAGGGGCAAGGCTGGAATGGACTTTCCCTATACTGCCATGTTGATTGCTCTGAAGCATCCCTGTGAAAGATGGTAATGTCTAAAAGAGCAGTCTAATGTGCTGAGAAAGCAAGATGCTGATATTATGAAAGGCATTAAAATCCAGATCTGTGAACTGCTTCCTGTGAGTTCCTGAAGGGTGTAACAGAAAGATGGCAGGTTTTGTGTGCTGGTGCTTCGATACACCTCCATGACTCTGATGGGTCAAGGGTTATGTTATGTTGCGTGGCGTAGCTTATGCTGATTGAGAGGCTCAATATATGGATATTAGGTTTGACAGTCATGTGAAAGGCAACAGTTCCTTGAGTGAGCAGGTTTGACAGTCATGTGAAAGGCAACAGTTCCTTGAGTGAGCAGGTTTGACAGTCATGTGAAAGGCAACAGTTCCTTGAGTGAGCAGGTTTGACAGTCATGTGAAAGGCAACAGTTCCTTGAGTGAGCTCACTATCAGTACACCATGTATGGGCTCTGCACTTTTAAATGGCAGAAAAAGCCTGTGCTCTGCTTCTGCCTTCTCTTGAGAGGGGCAGACAAAGGGCATGGGGGTTCATAGCAAAAGGGAATGGACGCTGCTTGGTGCAACAAAACCTTGCGTATGGTATCACGTCTGGTTTGAGAATGGAAGTGTAGGCAGTCACTGCTGCCTTCGACTTGCTTGAGAATTAGCTGTACACACATGCTGGGATTGTTACTGACTCATAGAGTATGCTGAGAAAGGTGGACACAGGCATGCTCCATGCAGAGTATCAAGCATTACTTCAGAGGTCCCGGGTAGTTAGCATCCTTTGGATATTTTCTCTATGTCATGCTGGTGTGTTGGGAAATGAGCAGGCAAATAGATACGCCGGTTCTGCACTGCTTGGTGGTAAACTGATGTATGACAAGCTGGATGTTGTGAGAGTTCTTTGGGAGCGATTGAACAGTGTTAAGGCACAGACAGATCATTACAGTCTGGGAAGAATGGTGCTGTGAGGACTTACAAGGGGATCTGGCCGGTGCTCAACACACAGGGGAAAGGCGAGATAGGTATACAATCAGACAGTTACTTGTGCCATTGGAATTGGAACTCTTTGCTTGCTGCTGAAGATGGGGATGTAGGGCTTTTGGTGGTGTCCCGAGTGCTATGATGTCGATTCCTAATTCAACATTCATTGCAAGCTGTCTAGTCTGGATGTTTCCTCTAGTGCAGGCATGTCAAAATGAGATTCCCCTGCATTTTTGTGGCGTCATGAGGGCCACACGACAACTAAGATAACTGAATACATATTGTTGCAGAATATTTACTGTGTGCGTGCCACAGGTGTGCTTGTCAAGGGCGTATGCAGCCTGTGAGCGACCAATTTGACTTGCCTGTTCTAGTGGCAACATCTGTGGTTCAGGGATGAAGATTTCAACACAACAGTGTGGTTCTGTAATGACCTACAAAACTAACCGGGAAGGCTAATCTAGAAAACAAATACCCAAATAAGTTGGATGGTTCCACCGAATATCACAGCTGTGCTGTATCTCAATGCAGATATGTCACTTAGGCGAACGAAGAAGATGAAGAAATAAAAAATGTCTTATAAAGTTCATGGTCAGTAGACTTGACATCCCATATGTCAGATGGTTCTTTCATTGGAAATCGTTGCCCCTTTCGCTCCATAATTGCTAAAGAAAGGGTCATGAACCCATGGAAATTTCAGGAAAAACCCTTTAAAAATAATCATATCACACTGGTCACTAATAGTATTTGAGAAAATGTATTTATTAACATTGTAAAATTTGTTCTTCTCAAAATATATGATGATATATAGAGGGGTAAACTACTTCTTCTTCTTCTTCTTCTTTTCATTTGTCTGAATGACATAAATGTGTTGTGCCTGTTTACAGCAGAGCTGTGATATTTGCCCATTTCTGCCGACACATCCAACTTTATTCAGCATTTGTTGACCAGGTTAACTTCCTGGATAGTTTCATGAGACAGAGAGAAGTTGTGGCCTTTTTTGTGTGGTGTTCACTTTGTCCCCTTTTCTACGGGTGTTGGCCCTACCTCGAGACCCTGTCCATGGTATCCACATGTAGACTGGTCGGCCTTCAAGGGAAGGCAAGGGCAGATCATGAGCATTCCCACTATCCAAGGAGGCTTCCATAAATGCAGAACTGACTCATGATGCTCTGGCCCTGGGTTCACCACAGGAATCGTCACATCCTGCACATGACTGCTTAACCTCACATCCATATGTTGAGCTTTTCAATCGTCAGGGCTGCCCCCTCCGAAAATCAGCAGGAAGCAGCTCGCAGGTACGGGACTTCAGTGGCCAGGATATTCAGGACCTTGTTTTTTAAGCCTTAAGAAATGTATCAGACAGTTATTTTTGCCAAACCAGCATGCTGACAGTGACAGACTGTCATGGTGTACCTCAGCGAGGTGTCAACGATGTTAAGAAACAGCAAGGGATGTACAGAGACAGTACTGTTCCTCGAGTTACCTCCCGCAAGAGATGTTGCTCGACTAGGCTGCGAGCATATCTCTTGACATAGAACTGAATCTCTGCAGTACAATAGTTCTTCACACTCGACAGACATTTTAACACAGCACATGCGCACATAGGACAAGTGGAACTGAACTACACTGTTCAAGAACAGGTCACCACAGACATGGCCACATATCGGCATTTATGTTGTTATGTAACAACCAGCAGTGACTAGATTTAGCCTTCTCAGGGTTAAACTGCTGCCTATGAAATAAATATGGGAGCCATAACATGGCTAGCAAGCTTGTCTGCCAGACCAGTGATCAGGTGTTCAACGCACCTTCAAATGGGATTTTAAAACAGTTGATGTGTGCACCTAAAACATAACATAACCCTTGACCTGTTAGTCACTAGCACACAAAACCAGCCATCTTTTTCTTGCGTCTGCTTGTTGAATAGTGTATTATAATTTAGTCCTGTCCATTTCTTAATGTTGTAATTCCAACTTCTTAGCACCTCTCTTCTTTAACTACCTACCTTCCTTCAAAGTCGGAGTACATCTGAGAGGTATGAAACCAACAGTCTACATACAGGTGAGTCAGATCTGTAAAATGCACCACTCAGGGTTCTGGAACAGGACTAGAATCCAGAAGTGGACTAATAACAAGAACTTTCCACCGGAGTTTATAGCCAGTGGATGCGAAGAAGAAGAAACTATTTTCCAGTGTTCGTTGAAGTATAGTCTTTGCAATCAAATCATGTCTCACCACGTGCCTGAACCAAACCTAATTGCGATGTTTCCCACTGCCAAAAGAGGCTCCTAATGTACTGCAAATGTGTTAATTTTGTCTCTTACATATTTGTTAGTTTTATGTTCTAAATTGTTAATTCGTAAAATTCTTTTATAGCATTTATGTCCGAAAGCCTGAATCCTTCTTTCCATTTCCAATTTCCACACTGAGAGTCTAACTCTAACATCTGTATAAGAAGATAGACAATACCAGTTATTTGTTTATATTACACTTTACTGCTATGCTGATTTTTCTGGAAATGTTTAGGGAAGTAAAGCATCATTTACTGAGCAGCAGTTAACTCTTTGGATATCAATGAATGCATCATGTGCTGATTTATAACTACTTTAGCAGTCCTCTGGTAGCAACAGAGGTAACAAATAGGGAACTAGCACCATATTCCGTGGCCCGTTTTTTTTTTTTTGGGGGGGGGGGGGGGGAGATCCACTGCCTCCTAACAAGCATGTCATAATAGGGGACTAATTAGGGCAGGGCTATTCAGCTGAGTTTACTCAGGTGCCAACATTTTGGAAATGGAGATCGTCGCGGGCCATAATCTCGTCCAGCATAGAAAGATCAATAATACAATACAACTGGCAGTGATCTGCAGGTCACTTGCTAGGCCTCTGCGGGCCGCCATTTGAATAGCCCTGAATTAGGGGTTTGCAAAAGTAAGATGTGTTGGGCTGAAATGGGTAGAAATTACAACCTTGCTGTAAACCACAATGCAGTGTGTGATTCACCCTTTTAAGGAAATGAACAAGAAGGTAAACTAAACATATCTAAAAGGGTCTGTTACGTTTACTTTACTTTTATGAAAGGAACGTGTTCACATTACATATAGAAATGTTTGTAGGAAAGGACATCTCATTTGTTTGTATCCCATGATCCTCCAGGTTGTTTGATACTGTGTTCAAGATCTGTTAAGATGACTGCAAACTCCAGCCATAAAAGTCCTGTCTTTATCCATCCATTGGATGAGCTGAAGTGCATTGCACAAGATAATGGCCTGCATCTGGAAGATTTACAGTTTGCAAAACTGATGGATGCCCAAGATCCACTTAAACAATTACGGAATGAGTTCCACTACCCAAAGATGGGAGACATTTTACGTAGTAAGTATACCTACCTACTTACTTAGTTGCTCCTCTTCTGCCTTTCGAGGTAGAGGTTGCCAGAGAGATTACCAGACTTCTCTGTCAGCAGTTTTCTTTTGAGCTTTGTTCAATTCCAATCCTCTGTCAGTCAGGGACTGTTGGATGTTGTCTTCCCAGCAGACCCTGGGTCGCCCTGGAGGTCTGGTTCCCTGGTTCTTAGCCTCCCATGCCTGCCACGGTGGCTGATTTTCTCTCATTCTGCATTCATGGCCAAACCATCATAACTGTGACTGGTCCACTCGAGTTTGTAAGGCCTGGGTTTCAAAATATTGACATATTGTCTGGTTGTGAACTTTGTCCCTTCTTAGTAAGTGTATCATGCTGTGATAAATTGATTGCTAAGATTGCGGTTGTGAATGTCACGTATAAAAACAAATTATTTTAAACTGCCAGAAGCCCGAAAGACTGGCAACAAGGATACATTGCAGAAGTTAAGGCTACTGACAACAATAATTTGGCACGGATATTCATTAAAGCAAGCCATAAAAGGCAGAATTCTTCAGCAAGCAGCAATGAGATCAATAAAAGAACTAATTCATTGTCCAGTTGTGCAAAGATTTAGTCTTTTGAGCTGAAGTGAGAATAAAAGATAGATATAATTAACAAAGCATAATTTACTCTTTGACCACCAAGCAGTTCACCATTAGAGCTTCTTTACCTGATATGTTTTTATCAACTTCCTAAATCCTTTTTCAGCTGTAATATGAACTCAAATTGTCATACTGTATTTCCCAAGTATAAGACGATCCTGTGCATAAGACGCACCTTGATTGTGAGATCAGAAATTTGGGGAAAAAATATTTACATTACCTGGGTACCTATTTTGTGCTGAGCTTACCTGGGAGCCGAGGTCAGTTTTGGGGAATAACAATCCGGCATGATGCAGATTCGAAGCCAAGACCTTTAGGGTTAATATTATTAATCCAGCTTGTGTGGGTTCTGGGGTCTCATTGTTCGGGTAAGAACACGAGTAAACCCACTGGCCCTCCAACAAACATGTCGTAAAAGTCGACTAATTGGGCATTTCCTTCGAAGTCGGATGGAATCTACCTGAGAGGCAAAGAACCAATAGTATGTACACACAAAAAAGCTAGAAAAAAAATGGATATATACACAAAACTCAAGTTCTGAAATAAGACAGAAGTGGACGAACAACCAGAACTTTCTGCCAGAGTTTACAGCCGGTGAACGTGAAGAAGAAGAAGATTGTTAAGAAACTCCATCCACATTTTATCTGTTGATTGCTTATTTTTAAAATTCCCTATTCTATTTTTTGTTTGTTAGCTGACCACTCCTTGGTGAATCCTATGGATGATTGTGTTTACTTCTGTGGAAACTCTCTGGGATTGTGTCCAAAGAAGGCCAAAGAGTATACAAATGTGGAGCTTGAAAAGTGGGCCAATATGTAAGATATTCTTTCATTTTTCTGATTGCATTGACTAGGTGGAGTTTCTTATGGTAATTTTGTTTGTTATAATCTTCTTCTTCTTTATTTTCTTCCCGTTCACCGGCTGTAAACTGTGGCGGAAATTTCTGGTTGTTCCTCCACTTCTGGACTCAAGTCCTGTTCCAGAATGTGAGTGTTGCATACACATCCGTTTTACAGGTATGACTCAGTTGCATGCTGATTTGGTTCCTTGCCTCTCAAGCAGACGTACTTGGACTGTGAAGGAAGCTCCCAATTAGTCAACTCTTACAACATGCTTTTGGGCAGGCATTGGGTCTATTCTTGATTTACCTCCACAGTGGGGCCCCAGAACCCACATGGGAATGTTTGTTATAATCTGCCTGTCTCTCTTTCTATGTCTGACTGTCTTTCTCTTCTCTCTCATCTTCGTCAGTTGATCTCCTCCCCTATGTATTTACATCTGTCTTGTTTGCCCTGTCCCTCCATCTCATTCTGTCTCTCTCCACTTCCTTCCTTTCACAGCCTTCTCTTTTTGGCACTGGGATGAAGTTTCATGTCATCTTTTTGTGTGTGTTAAAAAATCTCTGCCTTTCTGTCTCTCTCTGTCTGTGTGTGTGTGTGTCTCTGTTAATGTGTCTTTCTCTCTGTGTGCGTCTTTCTGTCTGTCTGTCTCTCTTCCCTTCTCTTTCAACATCTAGTTTGAAAATGGAGGTGGAGGCAGTGACTGTAGACTTCTGCTGGCTTGAAAACCAGCTGCACATACATGTTGTAACTGTATCTGACCCATGGGGATATTTTGAGAAAAGTGGAGACAGGTATGCTTGTGCAAAGGAAACAGGTATGCTTGTGCAAAGGAGACAGGTATGCTTGTGCAAAGGAGACAGGTATGCTTGTGCAAAGGAGACAGGTATGCTTGTGCAAAGGAGACAGGTATGCTTGTGCAAAGGAGACAGGTATGCTTGTGCAAAGGAGACAGGTATGCTTGTGCAAAGTAGCAAGCATTGCTTTAGAAGTCCCGCATAGTTAGCACCCTTTGGATGCTACTGAGTTAAGTTTTTGGTACAGCACTGTGAGCTGTGGATTCAAGTGGAATGGTCTTTTTTATGTTGTGCCGAGGACGACTTTGTGCTTTGAACTGTACTGAAAATCATGGGTGGCCGAATCACATGTACTTATGCAGTATTCAGGATTTTGAAACTGACTGATTGCATCAACAGTGAGCTGCAATTTTGGTGTAGGACTGTTAAGTGTTGGCATATCTGACACTTGGCATGTGCATTAACTTTGTGAGTTCAAGCTTCAAGATTTTACTGGGACTGACTAGAATTCAAATGGGTGTGTGAAGGACATTGTATGTGTGATTTTTCCCAGGTACAGGCACGGACGTTGTGGGACAACCCATGTACAGTTAAATTTGAACCTTGATTAACAACATGAGCCAGTTCTTCTCAAAAAAGTTTGGATCAGATGAGTTAATGTGCCAACTGCCTGCAATACTAGAGTGGAAAAAATGTGAACTGTCTTTGAACCAGGGCTTTTTAGGTAGATAGGTAGGTAAGTTGTACCCCACTAGGACACCATACAAGCGATAAACACCCGATGACACAAAATGCCACCGTTTGGATGAGGATCACCGTGGAGAGGTCCCAGAAACCGCGTTCAGCCATTAGGCCATATTTATGGTCGGGCTATATTGCAGCCCCTGGCAAGCGCCAGAGTAGGGCTTCAAATAACGAAAAATTATGGTATGAGCAGGGCTTTTCTCCCTAGCCAGACAGAATAGTAAACAGTTCCAGCACCTTTCTTCTAGGCATAATTTTTTTCAGCACTGCTGTAAAAGACACTTGGTGGTGAGTACCGGCACCTTATGGAGATTGTGAAGTGAGTACTGTCACCTTCTTTCTAGAAAAAAAAAAGCCTTGCTTTGAACTGTTCATAAATTTAAAATATTTTATTGTTGTCTACTTTATATATAGAGCACTGCAAGGCCATCAGCATGGTGATCTCCCTTGGGCTTGGTGTGATGAAGTACTGGAAGAAGATATGGCCAGATTAGTTGGTAAATGAAATTTGTGGCATATAATTTATAAATGAGATGATGTATGTAAACACTTGAAGATTGATTCATCAGTCTGTTCCCTCTGGGCTGCAACCTAAATGTTTACCATACCATCCTGAGATTTAAAAATCACAATCTGGTTGGCAGACTAACAAAGTAGATCGCAGATATCCTATTCAACCTACACAAGTTATAATTAGGGCACGTGAAATGGTTACACCAGCCTGATGTAGCCTGCAGTTTATATGTGGGTAAGGACCAGGTTTTAACATTTAGTTTCAGATTAATCTATTACCAGAGTACCATGTATTGCAGGGCTTTTTAACTGGCAGCCCACAAGCTTGCCTAGTAAGTGGCCCGCCAATTGTTGCCACTGAAATGTATTATATTTGAAAAAAAATTTAATCAGTCAATGTTTCTGTATCAATCTTCAAAAACCAGTAGTGTTGATTGAGAGATCTTCTGCGTTCATCCTTGCATGGGTGGTTGGCACTTCATGTTGTGATTTACTGCTAGGCTGGAATAGCTGTGCCTTTTGACCCAACAATGTGATTTCAGCAAACTCTTAATTATTCACTTTTTGTGTGGCAGTGGGTTTAATCCCTTCATCCCTTCAAAACGGGAGCCCAGGCCACAGAATCCACACGGGAAGCTTCCTGTTTCAACTTCTGACTTTCTTTTGCATTCCTGCTTTCCGTGACATGTTTTATCATAATGCTTCCAAATATTTTATATTTTAAATCTGATCTTTGTACACATCTTTTCATTCTTAGGTTTTAGAATGGTGTTTTAATTTATAATGTTCCTTACAGGTTGCCAGAGGGAAGAGGTGGGTATTATGAATGGGCTGACTGTGAATCTTCACTTGCTGTTGGTAAGTCCTGTTTCATGATCTTTACCTCTATACTGCAATACTTGATGCCTCAATGCATACCTGTGCAGTAACTGTGTCTGTGCCAAATGCATACTTGTGCAGTAACTGTGTCTGTGCCTTAATGCATACTTGTACAGTAACTGTGTCTGTGCCTTAATGCATACATGTGCAGTAACTGTGTCTGTGCCTTAATGCATACATGTGCAGTAACTGTGTCTGTGCCTTAATGCATACATGTGCAGTAACTGTGTCTGTGCCTTAATGCATACTTGTGCAGTAACTGTGTCTGTGCCTTAATGCATACTTGTGCAGTAACTGTGTCTGTGCCTCGATGCACACATGTGCAGTAACTGTGTCTGTGCCTTAATGCATACTTGTGCAGTAACTGTGTCTGTGCCTTAATGCATACATGTGCAGTAACTGTGTCTGTGCCTTAATGCATACTTGTGCAGTAACTGTGTCTGTGCCTTGATGCATACATGTGCAGTAACTGTGTCTGTGCCTTAATGCATACTTGTGCAGTAACTGTGTCTGTGCCTTGATGCACACATGTGCAGTAACTGTGTCTGTGCCTTAATGCATACATGTGCAGTAACTGTGTCTGTGCCTTAATGCATACTTGTGCAGTAACTGTGTCTGTGCTTTAATGCATACATGTGCAGTGACTGTGTCTGCCTTGATGCATACATGTGCAGTGACTATGTCTGTGCCTTAATGCATACATGTGCAGTGACTGTCTGCCTCGATGCATACCTGTGCAGCGACTGTGTCAGTGAAGGCAGTCGTGAGAAAGGCTAATATTGTGGAACTCATTCAAATCATAGATCTGCAGTCTTCTTTTTGCTGGCTCCTCAATGTGTAGCTTGTGAAAAGTGGGGAAAAAATACAGAATTGAAGTTTACCCAGAGAAAACCACTGATCCGGCATTTCTGGCTTTTGCCAAGTCTTTGGGTAGTTGCCACTGTATTTATATAACGACTTAGGTACTGGCTACATCTGCATAGACAAGGTGGGTATATATGGCCATATACAATAATTTGAGACAGGTCGGCGACCGGTCTGAATTGGCTCGTTATAATAATTGAAAATAAAATATAATCATGATTTTTTTACCTACTTGATATCCATGATGATACGGTGGCCTTCATTTTCTCCTGTCTGCTCCATGGTCTAGAGGTTCGACCCCCTGGACTTTTATTTTAAAAAACTGACTAAAACTGTGAATTATTTCTGCTTCTTTTTCTTCTTTCCTTCATGTCTCATGGGGGAGTTTCAGAGAATTATAAGGATGTCTTTAAAGAAATTTTGAAAGAAGTCATGTTTTAAGATTGAAGGTCATGTTTTAAGATGTGAAAGGGTTAGGCAAGGCCCTTAGGGAACAAGCAACGGAATCAGTAGAGAAACAAGATTATTATGGCCTGGACAGAATGGGACACCTGGGTGTAACTAGAGAGTCTGGACGGCTCACTACACTCAGAGGAAAGGCAAGACGGACTTTTAACCAGATTGCGACCAGTACCACCAGTATTGGAACTGCGCTGGCTGCTGAAGATGAGGACAGAGCTTGCATGGGAATGCCCCGAGTGCTGTGATGTCAATTCTTGACTCAACTCAACTTAGCTCAGGGTTAGGCAGTTAAATGTAAAATGTGATGATTTCTTAGATGAGCCTAGTGTAAGAAGACCGTGGATCAGCTCGGTATCGGGAACCAGTCGCGGATAAAGTGGCAAAGATGGCAACACAAAAGTGAGATTATGCAGTGTCCCACAAAACTAACTACGAAAGCTAACCCAGATAACAAAAACATGAAGAAGCCAGATGTATCATCTAAAAGGCACCAGTATTGCAGTAATTATGCCCCTCAAATGAACATTGAAGAAAATTAACTCTTTCATAGTGATAGCATTGAACTATTCTTATATGTCTGTAACTCATTGCAGATTTCATTTTACCGACCAAACAAAGACAGATACAAAATTTTGTGTGAGAGCAAGGCTTTTCCCTCTGACCATGTAAGTATAGTGGTCCTTGCTTGTTGATATTATAGTACGAACAATCATTTATTTATTATTGCACCACTTAGGGGTGTATTGATGTATAACAAGCTAGATATTGTGGGAGCCCTTTGGGAGCAAGTGAACAGTGTGGAGGCACAGATAGACTATTGTGGTATGAGGAGAATGGTGCTGCGAGGAGTTACCAGGGGATCTGGCTGATGCTCAAGGGAAAGGCCAGACGGATGTATGATGAGACAGTTACTGGTGCTATAGGAAAAGGAACTCTTCGCTTGCTGCTGAAGATAGGAATGAAGCGGTTATGGGAGTTTCCCGAGTGCTATGATGTCAATTCCTAATTCAGTATTCAAAATCAGCATTTTTTAAATTTATTGCTGTTGTTGTAAGAAATAGTTTGGCTTTACTCAGAATAACGGTCCCAAATTATGGAGGCCGAAAATATACCCCAACTGGGCCTCAGTCACATGTAAATTGCTGACCTCTTCCGGCGACTATACAGCATACCGCAGAAGAGCTTTCGCCAAGTTAAAGTCACTACCAAGAGTATTTCCCATGGCACGGAGCAAGGCTATACTAGATGGCTGGGACTCATGAGCAATAGCTACCGCATCTCATGCAGCTTCCTCCATTTTATTTGCTCGTGAGTCCAAGCCATCTAGTTTAGCCCTGAGATACTCTCAGCGGTATGCTGTGTAGTTGCCGGAAGAGGTCCGCAATTTACATGTGACTGAGGCCCTGTTAGGGTGTATTTTCGGCCTTGATAATTTGGGACCGTTATTCAGAGGATAGCAAATAGTTTTAATGGTATGTATTTCAAATAGCAGCAAATTGTATTGTGACACATAATCTGAAGTTAGTGACAGGCACCTCTGGTGCCTGCCTTATGCATTTGATGTGTGTGCGAGCTGTTAGATTTTGTGAGGACTCTAGTTATATTTTTCACAGTGATGGGCATTTTGTGTGATTTTCAGTGGCACTGGAATGGAGCAATTTTGGAGTGATCTGTTCGCGATGAAGTTGAAACCTTGACTGATAGCTGGAATCGGAAATTACTAGTATATATGAACGAAATGTACAAAGAAAGAAATTGTGACACCCATTGGCAAAGTATCAGCAGCTTTTGATAGCTGAATATGCAACTCTTTGTCTTTTTCTTTGCGTTCACCAGAGCTAAACTCTGGCGGAAAGTTCTGGTTGTTCGTCCACTTCTGGACCGCAGCTGTATTCCAGAACCTGAGTGTTGGGTGTGCATCCGTTTTACAGATCTGATTAATTTTTTTTTCAGACTGCTGGTTCTTTGCCTCAGGCAGATGCAGTCTGACTTTGGAGAAAGCTCCCAATTAGTCGACTTTTACGACATGCTTTTGGGTGGGCAGTGGGTCGGTTCTTGTTTTCCCCACAATAGGTCCCCAGAACCCACACGGGGAGAGATGAATTCAAAAGGGGTAAGGAAATCAAGAGAAATATCTAGGCAACCACCGATATCAACACTTATAAGACAAAGACGATGTTGCTGTCCTGAGAAGAAACCAGCAGAGAATCAATAAACAGGTATTGAAATGGGAAATAGAGTGATTGAGGAGGCAAGGATGCCGAAAAGAAATCCTAAAACGGATGTGGATAAGAGAGGCCAAGGGTGCTAGACTGGATTCCATCCCTGACATTGAACTGATTGCACAGGATAAAAACGGAATAGAGGAAGAGACTGCAAACGTTTTATGACATATAAAAGCATGACAAGACTAAAAAAAAATGAATAAAATGTCAGATTGTTTTTAATATGCTTTGTTTTATTCTTCTTCTTCTTCACTTCCTCTTTTACCGCTGTCGGTGTCGAGGGAGATATAAGGTTCTGTCTCTAGCTCTTCTGGCCGCCTTGACCATAGGCTTTGTTGTGTTTTATTAACACATTAATAAATACACAACCCCATTTCTTTGATTTATAGTTGCTTTATTGTTTTTTAATGCAAATACTTCAGTATGCCTTTGAAAGTCAGTCAAGACTCCATGGATATGACCCCAGTGACACAATGATTTGTATGGAGCCACGAGAGGTAAATCATTTCTTTCCTTCTGTTTTGACATTTATATGAACTAAAAGTAGATATTCTTCTTCTGTGTTCATATGTTCATTCTGTGTGCCTATTTATAGCTGTGATATTTGCACATTCAGCTTCTGCAAGCATTTGTTGACTGGGTTAGCTACCGGTAACCTTCCCGGAAAGTAGAAATTACTGTGCAGATATTGCACCTAAAATGATGTTGTTGTTATGTTCTTCTTCTGTTAAGTTAGGTATCCTTTACAGGAAATTGCAAAGCTAACCCCAGCATTTTTTGGTTGTTGCTGTTTTTTTCTAGGTACATTTTATGTTCAATAGTTTGCCATTGAATCCTGAACCGTCAGCTCTTGCTACCATTGTCGAAACCAATGCAAGACAAACCTTCCGCAGCTGGGATCGAACTCGGCAACCAGGCATTATGAAGCACATTTACAACGCCTAAGCCGCAGACTGTATTTGCCCTTAAAAGTATAGTTGGCACATTGTGTTGTTGTTTACAGCTAAGCTTCGATATCTGCATTTATATGGCCTAACACATCTAATTAAAGGTATTTAAAAAAAATTCAATTGCCTTTTATGGCATGCATGTGAAGAGACAGTTTATTGTCCACCCCTCCCTTTCAACTCTCATAAAAAGGGTCCCGAAACCCACACAAAGAATAAAGCTGTTGAAAATGTGCAGGTTTTTGAAATTATGGTTCTTTTCCATTTTTTCACCCCAACTTGGGGTTGGGGGATTTGGTAGGGAATTCCTGGGAGTTCCCTAGACAGTCCTGTATTGTTAAGTGGTTAGGGCTAGTTTACTCATCCTCTTCTTTCGTTTGCCCAAAAGAGATTTTACTCATCCTCTTCTTTCATTTGCCCAAAAGAGATTTTTAACATCTGCAGTGTTGTCTCTAGTATGAACTTCACTGTCTTGTGTAATTCACTCAGCGACCCGTAAAGTTCTTCTCGAGCTGGTGTTTTTTTTCTGTGGCCAGAACTTAGGCAGTTGGATGCAAATTGGAAATATTTTGGGACGGGCCCTGATAAGGGCCGGCATGGGGTGGGGGCAGGGAAAGGCCCTGTAAAGAAGTGACAGTCTCCATGTATGCATATTGGTGGTTAGATGCAGCAATCCTGACAGGTCAAGGAATCTCATCACGAAAGTGAGAATACAAAGTAAGAACACTGCTTCCAAACAGGGCACAGTGATGATGACAAACGAACCAAAGTAACATCCTGGAAATGATGATGCAGTAATCAATGAAAATGTTGAAAACAACCAACATAATACACCCCCTGAGTATAGAAGTTTGAGCAGTTTAGGCCTAACATTAACAGACACACACACACACACCCCCTAACATAGGACTGTCCGGGAAACTCGCTGAGAATTCACTACACAATTTTGGAGCTCCCAACAAAATTATTTGTAGAAAAAAAATCTATTTTATATAATCCAATAACAGTTATGTTTTGACATTAATGTTCCAAAGGGTGAGTTCACGCTCCGAACTGAAGACATCTTGTCCAAAATTGAGGAGGAGGGAGACAAGATTGCTGTGGTTTGTCTACCTGGAGTCCAGTATTACACGGGTCAGCTATTTGATATGCCAACCATCACCAAGGCAGGACAAGCCAAGGTTTGGTCTCATTTGTCTATGGTAGCACTTACTGAAAGAACAGTTATTCTGCATATTGAAATGTTTCTTAAATACACATGTGTAAACACTACTTTTACCTTGTTAATCTCTTTTTGATTTTGAATGAGCAGTAAGGAAAAGAAGGCATTCTTTCAGTTTCAGTAAAAACACTATAATTTCTCTGTATATGAGAGGGATAATGAGTTATTGATTTTAAATGAGCAGTAAGGAAAAGAAGGCATACTTTCAGTTTCAGTAAAAACACTATAATTTCTCTGTATATGAGAGGGATAATGAGATTGATTTTAAATGAGCAGTAAGGAAAAGAAGGCATACTTTCAGTTTCAGTAAAAAAAAACCCACTCATTTCTGTGTGTGAGAGATAATGAGTATTTGTGAAAGAGCAGTAATGGAAAGAAGGCATGCTATGAATTAGATGAGCACCATCTGAAATTTCAGTTTCTGTGCAATGTAGTTTATTATTATTTTTAGGTTGTCTCAGTGTGTGTGGTGAAAGAAAGAAATTTAGGCTGAGGAAGAGCAGTAATGGAAAAATGGTGTGCTTCCTAACATCAGCTAAACAAAAAAATACTGTTTATGTCTGTATGTGAGAGAAAGAAGACGTTCATCTTTGTTCATCTGATTTTGTTTTGTTTTGGATATAATTTTGTCATTTCTGTTTACAGCAGTATTGTGATTACATAAATGATGTCCCCAGCAAACTGCAAACTCTGAGATCCCCTTGCTAATTTGGTTTGTCTGTGATGGGCATTACTGGTGGTCTGTGACACTGACTTATGGTAGAGGTCTTGCATGAGTTTCTATAAAACCAGCACAGAGCCCCTTGGTCCACAGTGTGACATATAAGGCATCATTTTCAACCCAACTCAGCTGCCTTAACTTTCTCTCATGGCAATGACCGCAGTCAGCACACCGCGTGTGGGAGTCATCAAAACCTGTGTTCCACTTTTGCCTTTCTTTAAAGTGATTTTTAAAAACATTCTTGTTCATGCTTTTGGTATGGTAGATTTATGTGATGTGCTGATGAAGGCTGTGTAGCCACAATATCAGTTGTCATTTGTGTTTTCGATATTGTGAAGATGACTGGTTCTACCTTTTGTTTGGTTTGATATCTTTTCTTTGAGGGCCAACTGACATGCAGCTGTTCTGGACATGATTGATGGGAAGCACAAACCTGCAGAGAAAGAGGGGAATATAGCACCACAGTAATGTCCTATGAAACCAATTGGGAAGGCTAAAATTCTTTTTTTCTGTGCACATCTGTTTAATAAATCTGACTTAATTGTATGCAGATTGTTGGTTCCTTGCCTCTCAGCTGGTTCAGACCGTGAGTCTATTTTTTTTTCCCCACAATGTGGCCCCGGAACTCACACAGGGACCCATCTTTTTAACTTCACTCTGTAGTTCCTGTTTCCATGTAATTTTTGAGTCATGCGTGTACCACTGACCCCGTGGATTCTGATGTAAGGGCAGTCAAGTTATATATATTGTTACTAAGTTGTCTCAACATATGTTCTATCCAACACCAGTTGTTTTTACATTTACTCTTTGGCAACAGTCGGCTCTGTGGCTAAGTCGATGCGAACGCTTTGTAATGCGGATGCCGGATTCGATCCCAGCTGCGGGCCATGTGCCTTGCGTTGGTTTCGACAGTGGTATCAAGAAAGCCGACCGTCCAGAAAGCAATGGCAAACTACTGGATGTAAATTTGCCTAGAAAAACCACACAATAGCCAGGAGCTGTTGAGGTTGGTTCTGCAACGTCCTGTAAAGGATACGCAACTAACCTTTGGCAACACTTGATTTGAGCTTCACATAATGTTCGAGAATAAGATAGGAGCCAGTTTGTTAAAAAGCCTATGTATGCTCTGTTGGGGTAAAGGGCTCAAGAAGACTCCATAATAAGCCATTTTGTGATTGTCCATAAACATTTTATATGCTTGCCCGGTAGTTTGGATTCAGAGGCTTCAGTCTCCACTGAAAGGGATGTTAAAAGAAAATATACTTCCACTTCCAGGTTTGCTTCAGCTTGAATTGGGCACCATGAAATGTCATGGGAACTTATTAGTTTCAGCTTAAACTGGGTACCATGAAATGTCATGGGAAGACTTCCAGGTTTCAGCTTAAACTGGGTACCATGAAATGTCCTGGGATGTGCAGGCCACCACTGGGCACTGTTCCACGTTATCTAGTGAGAGCCTGTTGGTCTATAGAAAATATAAGCCTCACAGTATATGTCCGATAACCACAACCTTTGAAAATGGCACCTGTGGTGTTTTTAAAAATTTTTTTTGGGGGGGGGGGGAGAATAAAAAAAACTGATTACATTTATATGGTTTCCCCTAGCCTTCCACTTCATTATAAATGTTTTCTTCTTGTATGTTTATTTTGCCAGGGTTGCTACGTTGGCTGGGATTTGGCTCATACAGTCGGCAATGTCCCACTTGATCTGCATGGCTGGGGTGTGGATTTTGCTTGCTGGTGTACGTACAAGGTGAGATATTTTAACAGCAGAACATTAACTCTTTGAGTCCCAAGGAACACATCATACGTGCATAGATTCCTACTTAGAAGCCCAATGAATGCATTATGCGCAGATTTTAAGTCCCTCTTGACTACCCGTTGGGCCTGTGATGTTAAACCCGCTTGGACTCAAAGAGGTAACAACAGCTCCATCAGTATTCTGTCTCCTAAATCCCCCCACTCCCACCCCTCACCTTCCTGCCCACTTTTCTTGTTCCCTCCCTCCCACCATCATTATGAGAGTAGACCAAGGGTGACCAATTTTTACTGGTTCCTTCTTGTGTGGGAAGTTAAAAAATAATCAGCTTAACAAGCATGTATTCTTCTTCCTTGTATATCATTTATCCCCCACTGGAGCATAGACCTCCCACTGGAGCATAGACCTCCCACTGGAGCATAGACCTCCCACTGGAGTATAGACCTCCCATTGTAGCATAGACCTCCCATTAGAGTATAGACCTCCCATTAGAGTATAGACCTCCCATTGTAGCATAGACCTCCCATTAGAGTATAGACCTCCCATTGTAGCATAGACCTCCCATTAGAGTATAGACCTCCCATTGTAGCATAGACCTCCCATTGGAGTTTAGACCTCCCACTGGAGCATAGACCTCCCACTGGAGTATGAACCTCCCACTGGATTATAGACCTCCCATTAGAGTATAGACCTCCCATTGGAGCATAGACCTCCCATTGGAGCATAGACCTCCCACTGGAGCATAGACCTCCCATTGGAGCATAGACCTCCCATTGGAGCATAGACCTCCCACTGGAGCATAGACCTCCCATTGGAGTATAGACCTCCCATTGGAGCATAGACCTCCCACTGGAGCATAGACCTCCCATTGGAGCATAGACCTCCCATTGGAGCATAGACCTCCCATTGGAGCATAGACCTCCCACTGGAGCATAGACCTCCCATTGGAGTATAGACCTCCCACTGGAGCATAGACCTCCCATTGGTGCATAGACCTCCCATTGGCGCATAGACCTTCAGTCAACTCACACTGTCATTCCATCCTTTGCAGTTGTATGTAGCTCACCCAGTCTTTTCCACCTTATTGTCTGTCTTCTCTTTTTTTTTTTTTGTGTGCCTTTATTTCTTTAAACCTATGAGTTCTCTTGCAAGAACCTTATAGTTATATTATCTGACTTTCCTACATGTGTCCTATCCAATGTCAGCCTCTTTTCCTCACCTACTTATTCACTGACATTTGTTTTCTCCTAAAGTCAACATTTATGATTCAGTGACTCCATTTAATCCCCTCATGTGTTATGGTGAGCGTCGATATATAAAATCCCACCTGTGTTGTCCTCTGCGGGCATCAGGTTGGAGTCTGTTGACTGTCAGTTTAATCCTAGACAGTCCATAAATACTTGAAGAGTGGCATGTGTATTTCATGCAGCTGCTACCCTAATTATGTGGAATACTTCTTCTGCCTTCACCTGAAGATGTATAGGCGTTGTGCCTGTTTGCAGTATGGTTGTGATATTTGTGCGTTTGGCCGAAAGATCAGACTTCTGTTGGCATTTGCTGCCCGGGTTAGCCTTCCTAGATTCTGTGGAATTCAGAATCAGGGGTCCTAATGGAGCAGTGTGCCAGCTGTTGGATTTTATAGGGAGTACTGTTTGTTTGAGTTTTTTTTTTTTTAAAGCTCGGGACAATAGATGACCTGTTTGCCGTGACTGGTAACCTGACCTGACGAAATTTGGAATTAGATCTTTGATGAGATGAAAGAAGATTTAAGAAGACAGTGGTGTCAGGGTGGCACATAAAGTAGTTTCCTGTAGGGACATGGACAGTAAGTATGCAACCAGTAGAGACCGGTCACCAGCGGGCTTACTCAGTCAGCTATGTTATCGTTTTGCTGTTAATGAAACGGAAAAAAAAAAATTAATAATAACAACGGTCGTCCAATTCCAGTGAATCAAGAGACGAGGTAAAGGTGCTGGCATTGTGTAGGACACACATTAAAAAACCTAATAATATAACTTAAATATCCTCGCACTGAAACCCACATGACTAAAGGAATGCAAACAGACCAAAGACAACTTGGTATTAGTAGGTTGAGGACCTGTACACTTCCTCGACTTACAACCTATGTGACTTACAACCTGTGCAACTTACAACCTGTGCAACTTGATGACCATCTACACTTACGACCACACTCCCACACACACAAAAATAGTAATTTTAGTGGGTTTTTTTTTTTTTGGGGGGGGGGGGATTTGTTTACAGTTTGTATAGCAGACATGTATTTTTTCAAAATATATACAACTGTTATATGAACAAAGATTGAACTTTTGTTTTATTTACAATTTGCATAACTCCCTTCAAGGAAAATAGTGTTGAAAAAAATATAAATTCAACTTGTGACCAATTCAGCTTACGACCTGTTAGTCAGAACATAGGTCAAGGTCACCCTTTACTCCATTGGAGGACAAAGAGCAGAGAAAGAAAAAGACATGATTGTCTACAGAGGGTGTGCAGATACGTTAACTGTTTCACTGGTTATTGCTTCCCAGTATCTGAATGCTAGTGCTGGAGGTTTGGCTGGGCTTTTTATACATGAGAAGCACAAAGGTCACAACTTTCCCCAGCTGCTGGGCTGGTGGGGTCACGATATGTCAACACGTTTTATGATGGATAATAGTAAGTTATGTCTGTGTGTTTTTTTTGTCTTTATGTTTTATGATGGATAATAGTGAGTTTTGTCTGTGTTTCTTATCTTCATGTTTTATGATGTTTTATAATGGATAATAGTCAGTCAGTTATATCTGTGTTTCTTGTCTTCGTATTTTTATGATGGATAATAGTGAATTATGTCTGTGTGTTATTTTTTCTTTGTTTTATGATGGATAATAGTGAGTTATGTCCGTGTTTCTTACCTTCATGTTTTATGATGTTTTATAATGGATAATAGACATTCAGTTATATCTATGTTTCTTGTCTTCATATTTTATGATGGATAATAGTATATCTGTGTTCTTGTTTTCGTGTCTTATGTTGGATAATGGTCAGTTATATCTGAGTTTTTGTCTTCATGTTTTATGTTGGACAATAGTTAATTATTTCTGTGTTTCTTGTCTTCATGTTTTATGTTGGATAATAGTCAGTTTTATCTGTTTCTTGTCTTCATGTTTTATGATAAATAATTGTTATATATGTTTCTTGTCTTCATGTTTTATGATAAATAATTGTTATATATGTTTCTTGTCTTCGTGTTTTATGATAAATAATTGTTAGTTATATATTTGTTTCTAATCTTCATGTTTTATGATAAATAATTGTTATATATGTGTTTCTTGTCTTCATGTTTTAAGGTGTATAATAGTTGTATTTGTTTCTTGTCTTTATGTTTTATGATGGATAATAGTCAGTTATATATGTGTTTTTTGCCTTCATTTTTTATGGTAATAATAAATATATACTAGCAACAAGAAGCAGCCATAAGGATTGTTAACCGTTGGAGTTTTTTAAACCATTAAACAAGACGTTAGCCAGGGATGTGTACTATCAGTCGATTTATTCAGTTTGTACAGTGAAATAATAATTAGATTCGTACATGGTTTTCCAGGAACATCTGTTGGTGGGCATTTTGTTAAAAACCTGGGATTTGCTGATGATATAGTTTTAACCGCTGAAAATAAAACACAACTGCAAGAAATGGTGAATATCATTATAACAGAAAGTCAAAAAAAGGGTCAAAATTGAACAGCAGAAAAACAGAAGTAATGGTAATTACAAAAAAAAAAAACTGACCCTCCAAAATGCAACTTCAAAGTAAATGGGACAAACCTTGAGCAAGCTCATATGTTTTAAGTACTTGGGTACCCTGATAATACCAGATGGAAGATGTGTTAAAAAGTTAAATGTAGAACTGCTCAAGCAGAGGCAGCATTTTACAAACTGAAGATTTTATGCAGTGTTTCTTTGTTAGTTGAGACGAGAAAGGTCAGTTGAGACGAGAAAGAGAACTCTTAAAAATGATATAAATCCTATCTTGATATATGGAAGTGAATCATGGTCGGTTAGTTGATTAGTGAAAAATTATTTGCAAGCCATAGAGATGTGGTTTAATTGACTAATTTTGAGAATACCCTGGACAGATAAAAATAGTAATGAAGATGTCTTGAAAAATTGACTCACTTTGAGAACTCATTGCCAACATCAGAAAGAGACAATCTACATTCTTTGTTTATAAGATGAGAAGGAGAAAAATACATCATGACAGTAGGAAAGTTGAAGGGGAAGAGAGGCAGAGGGAGACTGACAGAAAAGATACTGGACAGTCTGATATCATGACATGGAGGATCGTCTCTATCACAGTTGATTGAAGTATGCGAGACAGAAGGTTGTGGATAGACATGACTACCAGTGCCACACGGCATGGACTTTGAAAGGAGGAAAAATAGTCAGTTGTATCTTGTGTCCCTTGTCTGTATATTTTATAATTGAGGATAGACGTATATCCATGTTTCTTTGTCTTCACATTTCATGATGGATGATGGACGTATATCTATGTTTCTTTTTCTTCACATTTGATGATGGATAATACTTATAACTATGTTTCTATGAAGACTTATATCTATATTTCTTTGTCTTCACATTTCATGATGGATGATAGAGACTTAAATCTGTGTTTCTTGGGACCATTTTTGTTTTAAATGTAAAGAGGCTAATGCTGACATATTCCAGATGATTAATGTGTAGTGGGTTATGTGCCTTGCTCTGAGTTAATGGCGATAATAAAAGACCCCCCATATGCCTATTAAGCTGAGAGACTCCTTGTGTAGTCTGAAACAGAGGCTAGGAGTGAGGGTATTCATAAATAATTCTAAGTGTAAAATTGTGAATTTTTTTCATATGTATGTGTGCTTGCGTGTGAGTGAGAAAGATTTGATAATGTACAGTTTGTGTAGCAGATAATCTGTTGTAGATTTTTTAATTTTTTAATTGTTCCTTCAGAGATGCATCTTCTTCCTGGAGCCAGAGGTTATAGAATCAGCAATACTCCGGGCTTGTTATGTGCTCCACTCAAGGCAAGTTTAGAGGTAAGCATTGCGTCAGAAGTCACTCCATATATTTTGAGGTAAGAATTTCCCCAGAAGTCACTCCTTGTCCGTATAGTTTGAGGTAAGCGTTTCCCCAGAAGTCACTCCTTGTCCATATATTTTGAGGTAAGCGTTTCCTCAGAAGCCACTCCATATATTTTGAGGTAAGCATTTCCACATAAGTCACTCCATATATTTTGAGAAAAGCATTTCCTTAGAAGTCACTCCTTGTCCATATATTTTGAGGTAAGCATTTCCCCAGAAGCCACTCCATATATTTTGAGGTAAGCATTTCCCCAGAAGTAACTCCTTGTCCATAAATTTTGAGATAAGCGTTTCCCCAGAAGTCACTTCATATATTTTGAGGTAAGCATTTCCCCAGAAGTCACTTCATATATTTTGATGTAAGCGTTTCCCCAGAAGTCACTCCATATATTTTGAGGTAAGCATTTCCCAAGAATTCACTCCTTGTCCATATATTTTGAGGTAAGCATTTCCCCAGAAGCCACTCCATATATTTTGAGGTAAGCATTTCCCCAGAAGCCACTCCATATATTTTGAGGTAAGCATTTCCCCAGAAGCCACTTCATATATTTTGAGGTAAGCGTTTCCCCAGAAGTCACTCCTTGTCCATATATTTTGATTTAAGCATTTTCTCAGAAGTCACTCCTTGTCCATATATTTTAAGGTAAGCGTTTCCCCAGAAGTCACTACTTGTCCATATATTTTGAGGTCAGCGTTTCCCCAGAAGTCACTCCTTGTCCATATATTTTGAGGTAAGCGTTTCCCCAGAAGCCACTCCTTGTCCATATATTTTGAGGTAAGCGTTTCCCCAGAAGTCACTCCTTGTCCACATATTTTGAAAAGTAGAACTAGTCTGCTACAGTATCACAAACACAAACAACTAGTAAATGCTGCGGCTAAAAAAACCTCTTCATCTGCACATTATGTAAATCAACACTACTTAACTGACATATTCCCGATAAACATCACATTGCTGTCCGGCAAGTGAAATGAATGACATATGAGGTAACAATTGATAATTATAGGACCAAGAAAAGTGTTTAATGGCCACCATTGACCTAAACTGAGCTAACAGGGATCTCATAGTTGGTGTCCCTGTAAGAATGCAATATCACAGTTCCTTAAAGTGAAGAACTTAAGAACTCAACCACACTGCATGGGTGATGACATCCAGCACAAAACTCTGCTTATGGTACCAAACTGACAGACTTGTCATTGCTTCTCTAGGTTTTCAACAAGACAAGTGTGAGTGATTTAAGAAAGAAATCTCTACAGCTCACTGCATATCTGGAGAGTCTTATCAAATGCTCATACCAAAGGCCAGCAGGACAAGACCCAAAGGATGATGGGGATCATGTTTACATTGAAATCTTCACTCCCTCTGACCCAGAACAGAGAGGGGCACAGCTGTCGCTGGCTTTTAATGTGAGCATACTGGAGGTGTTCAAGGAGCTGGAGAAACGGGGAGTTATTGTAAGTAGTATTTGGTGATGGTAAATGTTGTGGTTGTTTGTAGTTGATAATGACTGTTTCACTTCTGCCATCATCCGTTACTACATTTGTGAGATAGAAAAAAACGTGTTACTTGTTCTAATATCTCTCTGTTTACTGTGATGTTCACGTTTGGTCGCTCTCTCCATTGTTAAGTATCATAGTTTTTGTTGTTGTTTGTTTTGTTTTGTAATGTTAATTTCTTAACTGTACGCAAGGTCCCAACCACCTTTTAAAGGCAAGCCTAGAAGAAGAAGAATAAGTTGTTTGCTTTTTGTAGTGGAGTGTATCCTCTTCTTCTTCGCGTTCACCGGCTGTAAACTCCAGCGTAAAGTTCTGGTTGTTCATCCACACCTGGACTTTAGACTTGTTCCAGAACCTGAGTATTGCGTGCACATTTATTTTACAGATATGACTTATTTGTATGCAGACTCTTGGTTCCTTGCCTCTCAGGCAGATGCACTCCGACTTTGAAGGAAATACCCCGAATCAGTCCACTCTTATGACATGCTCACATTTGTCATGCTTATGTTATATCTGTTTTCCCTCTATATTTCAGTGTGATAAACGATTTCCAAGGGTTATACGCATCTCTCCAGTGCCACTGTATTGTAGCTTTGAGGATGTTCACCGATTCATGGGTTTTCTGAAGGACGCACTTATTGCAGCCAAGAATTCACTTCAGCATCTGGATATTCAAGCTGTATAAAATCATCAAAACTTTTACAAGTTCAAGGGCAATGTCAGTTCCCAACAGAGAAGACACAGTCTGGAACAGTGGTTCCCAAGTGGTGGTCTCCTGACCTCCGGGTGTTCCTGAAACAATTTTAAGGGTTTGTGATATTTAGAAAACAAAAACAACCCTGAACCGTCTAGTTTTTTAAATTCTTGTGTAGATTTTTACCCTCTTCTCGGCATGTGCCACTTGAATCCTACACATTTATAACCACAACAAATAAATTAATGAAAATAGTAAATTTGCTTGAATGTTTGTGTATAGTACGTACAGTATAGTACATACTATTATATTACATATTATATATAATAATTATACGTACATAGATTGGATTTTTTTTCATTTCACCATGCAATCCTCAGTATTTACCAGTCGTGTTATTTTTGGCTAATGTTTTTGACTCGTCTTTGTGTGTGTGTGTGTGTGTGTGTGTGTGTGTGTGTGTGTGTGTTCTGGTAAAATAAGTTCTGTAACCATCAGCTTTTTTGTGAATTTAAAAAAAAATTAATTGTGTTCATGTTGATTGCAGTTTTGTGTGTGTGCGTTTGTTTGTTTTGCTTTGTGCAACTTCTCTTGTTTTATTGTATTGTATTTTTATGATTGTATTCGTCTAAAGCAGGCCCTCTACACTCAGGTTTGTTTTGCCAAGGGATTTTTTTTACGTGTACAACAATGTACACAAGCATCCGATCTCACTACCCAGAGACCAGGGAGAATTACTAAAATGTCAAGTCCACATAAAACAAAATATCAGTCCTTACTGAGGATTGAAGCTGGAACCTCTAGCACTCGAGGCGAACACCATGCAGCCCCCACCCCTCCCTGTATCTAGTCAATAGCTATATGTACTTTGACTGACATGTGTTCACCTCCATGGCTGTACTGATTTTGTTTCTTTACTTTTTGCTTCATTGTGACACGAACAATCATATACGCTCCTTGTTTAAGTGCTCAGTCTCCAGCAGTGTATCAGCTTCTGTTTGCATTGGTACCAGCTTCGTAAGGTATTATGATGGAAGTCATGGTAGCACAGCAGCTAGATGCTTGCATTACAGCACAAATGTTTAAGGTTCTAATCTCATTGTGAAACAAGTTTATACTGCCCTCTGTGAATCTCAGTGCTCATTCTCCATTTCAGGTTGCATATGTTTATTTTGTCTGTACCTGTTGTTTCATTTTTAGACAAATAAGCATATACTGCCCGTCAATGGGTCTTCCTCCTCCTTACGTTCTTCGGCTGTAAACTCCAGTAAAGTCCTGGCTGTTCATCCACTAATGGATTTTAGTCTTATTCCAGAGCTCGAGTCTGCATGCGCATCCATTTTACAGATCTGGCTCATTTGTGTGCAGACTTTGTAACCCAGTGTTTGATTCCTGCTCTGGGTGGGTGTTCTCATAGTTTGCATGATATGAGAGGGGCAGGCGATCAGGGTCTCAACACGTAATAACCCTGTAGCAGAAGTGCATATATGTGCAGCCAGTGTTCACTTGTGGAGACAGCTCGCATTTTTAAAAATTAAGTTATATTTCGTTTGTTGTCTTCTCCTCCTACTCTCCAGTTTTATCAAGAATTTTCCATTTCTGTTCCAAACGGAATAATAACCACAGTGAAATAATGTCAGCATGTTAGTTTCAAAGTGACAATACATGGGGTATTTTGTATTAGAATATCTAGCCAGGTTCCCTTTGAATGCTTAAGCCAAATGATGAAGAAATAATTATATACAATATGGGGTTTGATGCACACAGACGATAGCTGATTTTGTATAGTACGAGAGAAAGAGTTAATTTCTTTTGTATGTTTGAAAAACTATTTATTTCTGATGCTGTGCTGTGTAGGTTTTGAATGTTTGAATGCATTTATTATCTCATGAAAATGTTGAAGTCAAATCTATTTAATTACTATCTTGAGGATATTAACATCCCATGTCTTCCATATGTGTCAAATATGAATGCATTTATTTTACCGTTGGTTGCTGGGCTGCTCATGCATACTCTAGAGATGGCAGAATTATCTGATGTTTTGTTTGTGAATTATTTTTACTTGCCAGACACTTTCAGCTGTTACGTCTTACAGAAATCACAGCCTAGTTGTGAATCACAACATAGCATGTGCAGGATCAAGCAGAAGTATTATTATACATTTTACAATTTGCTTGACTTTTACTGATACATTCTGTGTTCTTATTTTTAACTGTGGTTGCTTTTATAAACTGTAAGATGTGAGAGCCATTTTAACTTGCTATATTATTCTAGTCATGGTTGTATATTGACACAAACGTCTCACTTTTCAATAGCACAAAAACCAAATATACAACAACAACAACAAAATTATATTTCCAATATGGAGTCGTGAAGAAAAATTCAAAATTAGTAAGGCTGTACCAAATATTCGCTTCATATTTGCTTCGGGGCAGAATAGTGGACCTATTGACTATTCGGTATTCGGCCGAATAGTTGCGGTCGGGCCGAATACGAATAGTAGTTACCTCACACCCACGGCCTTAATACTGACAACATGGAATTTGTTGAAAGCTAATGCCGCTTTCCTGCATTAACTAAGCTGTCAGTGACGTTACAAGTTTAGTTACTTGTTATAATACTTAGGATTCTTTCATTCCTAGTTATTAGTTACCACAGACTGACTGAAGGATGCAAAAAATAAAATGTTTTTAAGTGTTTACTATTCTGTACAAATACTAACTAGACATGGAAAGAATATAAACTCCCGCCACATCCAAGTCGATAA